AAAAAAAAAAAACATGGCCCGCCGACACACCCTACACCCTAAACCCTAAACCCTAAGCCCTAAACCCTAAACCCTAAACCCTAATCACAGCAACCCTTGCCTCCACAGGATCCTTGTCTGCTGTCAGGACCCTGGCCCAGGAGCTTCTAAGGCCCTACTAGGCAGAGTTATTATTGATGCAAACTCGCACAAATTGCTAAAAACCTAATGGTAGCTAGGGGCAATATACTTGAGGCACTTAGCATCCGTATGAATTCATGGAGGCTGTTCCGCAAGCGCGACACCCAAATGCACTCTTCCACCCTCAGCACTCCAAAACGAAGAGAGCATTCATCTGCCTGACATCAACCAGGTCGTAGCCAGCACCCACCACAACGGAGTCGTTGAAGTCCTGAAGCCCAACACTGTTGGGTTGGGGGGGCACAGCATGAGCCGAGCATGCAACTCAGACTAACTCTACTTTTAACCCTCAACGCTCCAGTCGGCGGATGGGGCTGGCGAATGAAGCAAAGGCCTGCTGCAAGCTCTCGCTCATGCAAATGCAATCACAGACAGCAGAAAGCTTCCCCGTTATACCTGGGTCCCACATTCGCAGAACGAAGTCTGAAACATTTGTCACTGCCGAGCCTTCATGGAAACATCTCTCCTCGAAAATGTTCTGTGCCTCACCGTAGCAAAAGCTCTCCATGAGCAAAAGCAACCATGCGCTCGGGTCAGAAATTGCACTGATGGATGGAGGTCAAAAACTTGCGCGCTTCGACATGCGTTTGGCCCCTCTTTCCTGGAACACAGCCAAATGCCATAAACACTTGAGGACCATTGACAAGGCGAAACAACTTGTGACAGTCACCTAGACGTCCATGAGCGCTTAAATCCGGCGTGCAAGGGCCGTGACAGCCTTCTGATGCACGAAATCTACATGAGAGCAAAGTATGTGCGGACGAACGATTTTCAAAAGCCCGCAAAGTGTTGGCGCCAGACACCTGACCAGACACTGCATTCAACGGAAACCGCGCACAGTGAGCCATCAAAGCCTGACAGGTAATCCGATAAGAAAGACACGAAAGCAAAGAGAAGGTGACAGAGCCCATGTTGGGGTGCTTCTGGTGATGATACACGAAGGCATGAAGCATCGAATTCGCACAAACCTGAGTGAAAACCAGAAGCCCCACGTTGCTGCACTGTGTACATTCATGCTGTGCCGATCTGCGTGTGCCGCCTCGGCAAGCTTCTTACTTGTATGGTTAGGTAGGCATAATGGAAAGGAAAATGGAAACTACTATAAAGGGTTTAGGGT